GATCAAGGTTAAATTTAAATGTTCGCTGCGATAGAAAATTTTCTTCACTACCAATTCAAAGACTTTCTACACACACAAAATTATATATTATAATGATCGGCTTGAAGTAGAATTATTATACTCCTGAGCTCCGTGTTTTCCTTTTCATAAAAGGCTTAGCAGATGATAACTTTGTGTAGTAGTAAGTATACAAAATTAAGATATTTGGTTTATAACTTTAATTGTAGTATGATAAATTGAGTTAAAAATACTAAAATCATATAAAATTTACATTCTACCTATAAGTCTGTTTGCCTGAAATATGAATGAAATCGGTAAGAAAACACAACTGCATATATTACCTACATAAGTTTATATTCCTTTAGGTTGCTAAACCCTGTAACATCAACACGATTCTTTAATATCTCTACGGGACAGACAGGAATCAAAGGTCCTGTCATTGCTATAAATATTACTCGCGAGAATACTATCTAACTGTCGATAGTGTTCGTTATAGAGCTCCAGTCTAGACTGGTCGTCTGTCTACTCTCGCCCACCTTTTCCATCTGCAAGATAGTTTAATGATCTTGGAATTATATTTTTAAAATACGAACGCTTTTCCATTCTTCAAGCTGCGGGCTACGAACTAGTTTAATAAAAGGACTGCCTTAATGAGGGCGAAACGAAAGGTCTAATATTTTGTATTAAAGAATTACTGGTACTTTAGAATAAAGAACTGTTTGTTCGAAAGCATGCCAATTAAGATTTTAATTTAGAGAACTTTAAATTTTAGTGGAAGTTTTAAGAGATTTCAGATAGCGTTTAAAATCGTGCCCAGTTTGAATATTTATAGCCGTAAGTAGGTAAGGTTTTTGTATCTCTAACAGCGTCTCTTGAGAGCATTTCCGGCGGGTCGGCCCAACCTGCGCAGCACACGCCAAACCGGTTTAATAATTCGGTATTTCTGGACAGCCATGCCGATTAATTTACGATAGACGAGCTTCCTGTGATAAAAGCGACATCCAAACTTGTGATATGACAACCTAACCATTAGAAGTTAATCGCGTCTTTTTCGTTTCCGTAAGGGATTTTAATTGGATTCATAACAAACGCTAAGATGGGTAACACTTTAACATAAAGCACAAGTTAATGATTAATTTACTACTGACGGGTCATATTATTCCATTAAGAATTAAATAGTACCACCATAACCTATAATTACCTATAAGTAATTAATTGTCCCTAATTTGTAAGAAAACCATATCCGGAAGTATTATAGTTATAAGGGACGAAAAGGACTATGTTGAAATAATATAGCAATAAGTAATTATAATAAAAACCATGAGAATTACACTTTAAGAGTTATATTAGTAGCGTTAACCCCCCTTTACCCTCTACCAAAGACCGCCACGTAGCTCGAGCATCGTTTATGCGTATCTAGTTGTCGCCAGCAGACTTGCGCAGTCTTTACATCTGGCAAGGGACGTCATACACCCTGCATTCACCTAGACAAGTTATCTACTCAGCGATGTGTTTTATCTAAAGATGGTCACCTCACTATACTCAACGACGGTGGGCCACTAATCAAGAATTATCTAGTAACAGTAAGCCTGTTAGGTATGGAAACAAAAGTAAAGAAGAAAGTGGAAGAAAAAGTATGGAACGACTGTCCACATTGATCCAAAATCAACGTTCCATACTTTTACCAACTATGAAACCGATACACAACTAGGTTCGAATGATGACTAATCAAATTATCCACATTCAAATATGTAGAAAAAGTGCGAAAAGATTGTCGCCGCTGTGGGAATCGAACCCACGTCTTCGGCATTCGCGGTCTGACGCTCTAGCCACTGAGCTAAACGGCTGATGACCACACCGACGAAAATCTTAACGCATTCCTCTACATTGTTTTCTTAGCATTTGAAGCAATGTTTGGCGCCATCTATTGTTATATCCTTTCCAGCATACAAATTGCTTACGTTGTAAAACGATATTCGAAATTGTTGCGTTAAGATTTTCGTCGGTGTGGTCATCAGCCGTTTAGCTCAGTGGCTACAGCGTCAGGCCGCGAATGCCGAAGACGTGGGTTCGATTCCCACAGCGGCGACAATCTTTTCGCACTTTTTCTACATATTTGAATGTTCAATCTTAAGTGCAAAGATTAGCACTATAAACAATTTAAATTTCCAAATTATCCACAGTTAATATTGAATACTAAAGATTTAAATGCGAATTATTTTCTACCGCAAACCGGTACGCGAATTCTTATTGTTTTGTTGTAAATTACTAATCATAGCGCCGACAGCATCGCGTCTTGCGTTCCGTTCCTGGAACAATATTTATGTTCCGTTCTTTGGTATTCCAACGTAGTTATTCACTATTATCTTAAAAAGTGATAATGACAAAGAGATAGTCAATGTTGTTCTTATTTCACATAGTTTATTATGAAATTCTATTTTAATGAGACTATAGTTTTATAACAGTTAGTTAGTTGAATATTAGTTCAATTAGCTTGTTAGAACTTATCTTTCAACAGAGCGTGCACAGCCTAACAGATAGTTAAGCAGGATTTGGGACATTTATAGAGGTTAAGTCAACGTGTCGACTTTCAATTTTCTAAAAATGGAAACTGGATTTTGTGATAAGCTGCCAATGATGCTAAAATAGCTGTCATATATATAAATATTTAACGTTTTCACTCTGAGTAACCACAAATAAAAACAGTTCGTGTTTAGGCCGTTGCAGAAAATTGTTTTTTGTTAATTTATAGATGGTGTAGTATTAATTTTAAATGGAACAAATATAAGAACCCTAGAGAGCCTTTATATATACAAGGATCCTTATCTCAATGACATAACCTTATCTGTCTTTTATGTCAGAAGGCTGGCGGTTCACCTGATGTTAAAAATAACCCTCACCTAATTATATTTGCAACACTCACCTTATAATAACCATCTTACAATAAAGTATAACACTTCCACTTCACGTCGGTCTTCTGTCGTCGTGGTACTTACATGGCTGGACCTGCCAATTCGTGCAACAACCATGACTATTGTGTGGTACCATTGTTCTCTTTAGAATCATAAAAGAAATATGTTGACTAATTTATTCAATCTACTATGTCTGTCCCGTTAACTGGGAAGACATTGTAAAGGGTTCGATATGTCGGGAATTAAAATTAAAAATAAACGTGAAAAATTCGTTAAAAAGTTTCATTTAGCACGGAGTGCGAAGATTATTATTATTATTTTTCAATGTAGAAAAGGATAAGGGCACAGTCCACTACGTGGGGGACCGTAGAGGTATGAATACCCACTATAAGGAGGTCTCTATCTACATGTAAGTTTGTGGGGCATATACTTTAACTTAACTGTGGTAGGACACATTCTTCGCTGTTGCACGAATGACCAAGTACGTTCGGGTAAGTACCACATCCTAACCGAAGACCAGCGTGAAAGCGTTTCGTCTGGTGAGTGAGGTAGCCGGGGCTCACTTTATTAAAAGGTGGCAATGCATCTGCAACCCTACAGGTGTTGCACATGTCAATGGGCGGCGGTTATCACTTAACATCAGCTGAACCATTAGCTCGTTTGCCACCCTCTCCCATAAAAAAAATATACTCCACAATATTTTCGTATACCAGCAAATGCAAATATTACTTTTCATATCTTTGTGCTGCCAAATTGATTTGTACATTTCTAATGTGTATTATGAAAAGCTTATATTTTTGTCAAAAACAAATACATGGGGATTTATGCATAAAGGTAAGTGACTGAAACAACCGTAACTTAAGTGTTATTTATTTAGCACGAACCACGAATCTGCACGAATTTTCGGAATAAGCACACACCTCGTATAAAGTATACTATCAAGCGACCAAACTAGACTTATCCACAGTGCAACTTAAAGAAAATTAAACATTCAAATATTTTATAGTGCTAATCTCTGCACTTAATATGGAACAATAAAAAATTGTAGGAAAGAGTACGAAGTTTTGTCGCAGCTGTGTGGGAAACGAATCCCCGTCTTCGGGATTCCCAACACGATGCTTTAACCAACAAGCTCAACCGCTGATTGCCACACCAACGAAAATCTGAACATCTTATGAAAATTGTACATTTTATTTTTAACTGCTAAATACATACTTTCGATGAGATGTGAAATTGGCCAAAGTTGAGAAAAGATACGCCATCATAGCTTCTCCTTAAGTATATAAAGATATCAACACGTCTAATATCTGTAATTACGGCTTTGGTTTTCTGTAATCTTCTCTAAGCGTGCTGTTACAATTTAGTAAAGAATGTCTTGCTTTCAGAAATATTTGTAACCGAGTCTGTGAAATTAGAGCTGTAAACACTAAAACAGCCTACGGCTATCTAACGTCAACTGCGGGAAACATAAATCAGATAATAAAACCAGTAGTTAGTGTAAGATGAGAAAATAATTTGTTTAAATAAATTAGGCGCAGTGGTTGCCCATGACGCGTGGGCCGGTGAGAGGCAAGTGTCGCGTGCGCATGCAGCCTACGCTGCACTCGCGGCTATTATTTCTCAAGTTTGTTTGTCGGGACTGTTGAACTTAAACATTGGCGCCAACGTGATTTAATTGTGTTTGCTTTTAATTAATAGCAAAATTCAGATGTTGTAGTCTGTTTCTTTTATGTTTGAGATATCATTGTGTTATTTATTTGAAATGTTTAAGATTGTAATCAAACATTTCATAGTAATAAATGTATTATATGCGATAAATTTTTAAAGCTAAGATTTATTTACACGGTGTTGGAAAGTAAAGTATTTTTAATACAAAGAATATTTTTCTTAAAGATATAAAAAGCGAACATGCAACAGGAGCATTTTCAAAGATTTGGCAGTATTAATAAAAATATTACATAATTATGGTTATTATTAAAATCATTATCATAATCATTAAAGCAGAACATTATCAAAAACGATATGATGCTATTATGAACAATGAATATATCTTAATCCAAGAAGAAAATGAACTAGTAGCGGCATCTAGAATTGTGATCTGAACTGCGTTGCTGCCACAGGCCCGCACAAGCTTTTCCCGCGCAACCAATTAGCGAGCGCGAAGCGGCTGCGAGACGTTGGTACGTTAGGAAGGAAATTGTTACCGTCGGCTTGTTCGTACAGCAACGCTATGTAGCGATGCAGACCGGTGCCCCGAGGTGGCGCTGGAGCTTTATAACCTTAAATTACGAAGAAATAATTGAGTAAATATACATTGTAAAAAAACTTGATGTTATATAAACCTAATACTTTTAAATTTGGTATAATTTTATGCATAAAGCAGTGAACGACTCACCTCGATAATCAATGCCAATAGTCTTACTGCTTTCCTTTACTCGTAAAGCTAGTCCCTTTAATAAAAAAAAAAAAAAAATATTTCAAAGTAAAGAGAAAATTTGCTATAATAAAAAGAAAAAAATACACCGACATAGTTCTTATATTTTTTTAAAGATAGAGGACTCTATAAATTAAATTTGTTTTACAGAAATCAAATACTGAAAAACCAAATGATATCAAAATTAACGTGACCAACGTAACAAGACATGTGACCGCGACATTAGCATGTCGGTGATCCCTGTGAATTTTGCGCCATCCAAAATTCCCATTGTGCATTAAGAAGTTTACACTTCAATAATTGAGGGATTAAACCTTACCACTCTTTTTACCGACTTCAAAAAAGAAGGAGGTTTCTCTATTCGACTGTATATATTTTTATAAGATAGATACGAAGAAGATATATACGATGATAAGGAAGGTACTGATCTGGTGATGACATCCGAGAGAAATCGAGAACCGTCGTCAAATATTATAGGTATTTACAATGCTTTTTTTTCTGTTTGAAGTTGTTTTTTTTTTTGTTAAAAATTTAGGATTTCCTATACAGTAAAATTAAAATAAAAAAAGGAATAATTCAAAGTTTAAATCTGTTGCAGACCTTTATAATATAGTTATGGGATTTAATTCATTAAACATATATAATAAAATAAATATATAATATTCTTGCTAATGGGTATAATAGCATTGCCCATTACGATAATCAGGACGCATCACTTTCACTATTAGGAATGATATTAAAATAATTATTATAATTTTAAATAATAAAACTCCATCATCTAAAATTTTGTTATGACTGTAGCAAATTGTTTTGGAGATACATTCAGAACCAAAAGATTCCGGTTCTCCCCACCTGATCCATAGAATTTTATGCTTTTCACTTCACGAAGACTTTTGTGCACTTGATCACTAATTCTTTTTTATACAGATTTTCTCTTTGTGCAAACTAGATTGTGAAAGATCACTTTAAAGAGCGTTAAAATTATAAAATTTGTTACTATTTTTATTTAAAGTTTTACTTACCGGTATATTAGACTTAAGCATATGTAGAAAAAATTCACCCTCAATTTGTGGTGGTGCGTCTGGATCTACCAGAATAATCGTGTAGAATTTTTTCTGCAATAATAATGATATCATAATAAAAATACGTGACTTCTATAATCTTATCCATGGAAAAAATCGGTTGCCTAAACATAATTTTAATTTCAATATAATGTAAAAAAATATAGAAAAAATGGCTTATCAGAACATGGTGTACAGTAGCGTTAGTCTAGGAATACTTAGAGAAGTTTTACTCAAAAAGAAAATTTATATATTTTATGAAGTTTTACCAAATCCATTGCTGTTATACTTTTATAATAATTTAAAACTGTAACACTTAAGCAGCTTTATCTCCTTGTTTGTATTTTTTATAAGTTTATATTTACGAAAAATGTGTGTAATACAATCGTACACCTTAATATTAGATTTTTTCACAAATTTATACCCACCGAATCAGCTAGATCATACTGAAATAGCGGTTCATCAATGAAAACTTGTTTAGGTAGAAGTACATCGCAGTTATGATCGTTCACAATTGTCCCACCTAAGCTTGTTACATTAAGTCCAGTCAATCTATCGCAACCTTCAAGCAAACTTTTTACATCAGACATTGAGCATTGAGGAACACCGCCACAAACTTTACTAATAGTCAAGGTAATTATAATCAAGTGGATCATTATGACTGCTGAATAGTACTTACTGCTCGAACACTAAAATTATTAAGCATAACGACAAAGTTTATAAACTCTAAAAATTGTTTGTTCTGCAATGCAATACAATCTGCAATACACCGCGTAAAATTTATAAGCATATTGCGTAAGTCGGCTGCGTGTAAGAAAATCTGTATGAACTTTCGTAAGTTTTCGTAGTTTAAAAAATTCGATAGTAAAATGTTTTGCATATCGACGAATAATATATACTCTCCGATCAAGAATATTCTTTAAATAACTTAAAAACTTTAAACAACTTAGTAAAAAGTTACAAGAGTTTGATATTGCTATAAGATGAGTAAAACTTTGTGTAAAAACAATTAAAACCGGTCAAGGGCGAGTCCTACTCTTATGCCGAGGGTTCCGTACCCACCCTTTCACCTCCCACCCATTATATCGCCATAATATAATTGGTAAATAATCACCACCGATTTTCTCGCACTCTTGTTTAATTTATAGTTATCCAAGATTTTTCTTTATGATGAACAAAAAGAACGTACTATTACGCCGACAACGTTTAATGTTTAATTTTGTTTTTACTACACCTGTGTCGCGCAGCTATCATCAAAGTATTATCGGGAGCGATTCATGTTGTGAGTTGGATTTTTCTCAAGTATTTACATAGTAGCTTGAGTGAGACCGGAATGGTCAATTAATAACTATACAAAAACAATTGATAAATGTTTTAACAACTTTTTGGCCTTAGTTTGATATGTTGAACTACTTTTACATTTCATTGTATTCTATTTTATACATTTCATCTTATGATTATATGCAGCTTTAATGACATTCTCATATTATGTATATCTATTACAGTTTGTATATACGATGATACGCGGGATGATAAGAAAGTGACATTACGAAATAAAGCATCACATTGTGTTCCGTACATTTTTTGTTTAAAAAATACGGAACTTCATATATACGAGATCCATATTTGTATTTCAATGTCAATGTCCCGCTTATCAACCTATATGCAGACTGTAGTGAGTCTTTGATCTTTGATGTTTTAGTAACTCTGAAACGAGACCGCTTATCATTGGCGATAAATCTTCTTGTTGTTTATCGAACAATTTATCTTACATTATTTTAAATAATCAAACCATTCTTCATTTAGTTGATTTAGTCGAAATACTTATTGTAAACAGGTTTAAGTTCCTAAATATATATAAAATGGTAATCACTTAAGATCAGGTAAACAGCCTGCTTGTTTGCCCTAGCATTCATAACAAAAAACAGAAAATTCCATCTGTCTTCTTCTTCTTCTTTTCTTTTTTGGCGGTTTTATTCCATCTGTCTATGGTATATAAAATGTAACTGTCAATGTCAAATTAACATTTGACATAAAATGACATTGACATGTAAATTGGGAATTGTAATCCTCGTTTCATCCAAAGAGAATGTAATCACTACGTTTCATCCTTTGTACGTACTTGGTTTCATCCTTTGTATAGTGCTTTCGAAATGCAATCTATATCTATAAATAAAACGAGTTCGATAACATTTTATTAGTAAAATGGAATCACACCCACTGAATCAGGTACTACTATAATATATCGCAATCACTTTGATCGATCTAAAATCATGCCAAAGGTACAATAAAAATCAAAGTAATTATTTACAGGCGCATCAGCAGCATCGACGTGCTGAAGCGCTTCTAATAAATAATAGATACGACGAAGCAATGCAGTGCCACCACAATGCAGCCGAATTATTACTAGACGCCATGAAATCGACAACTTCATCAGCGGCCTTAGAATCAATTAGCCTTCAACATAGTTACCATTTGAAGCAGAAGGATCTTATAAAGAGCAAAAAAGAACAATATGCACGAGTCAAGAAAGCAATGGAAAATATAAAACTATTAAGCAAAGATCCGCATCTCAACCTTAAAAGCAATGAATATACTAAATTGCAAATTGCTATTTATAGAGCTATAAATGAATCTGAAGCTTTACTGAACAAGATGTCAAATGAAGACATATATTCAGAAACAAGGCTACCTCAAGATATTGTTCCCAGAGGTGATGTCACAGATGGAAAGAAAACTGAAAAAACTCAACAGACAGTTGTAGAAGAACTTCAAATTCTTAGTCAAAATTTGCATTCACTTGTTGAGCAATTGGTCTTACAAGTTGAAGTTCTGAAAGATGAAAATGTTACTCTGAAAGAAAGAGTGAACTATTTGGAAAAGGAAAGAGTAAAATACCTTAATTTACCTTCATCTTATTCCGGTAACCAGCAAAGTAATTTTGGTTCAATGTTTGTACCTAAAGATTTGAGTACAGTTACTGGTGACAAAGATTCAACAGGCTTCATTAAGCCTTTAAACACGATGGTACTTGAGAGAACAAGTCAGCAGTCACATTTTGACTTAAGTGCCTTTAAGGACAGTTAGAGTCGCAAGTCATATTTAAATTAGATAAATTTTATTACATATAAAACGGTGCAGTTATTAATATATTGCAATTTTTAATATCTATTAGAATAGATTAACATATTATATTCTGGGACTTTATATTCAAATAAAAAAAGAAAGTAAAGTTCTTGAACAAAATACTTTTTTTTGCTTAAAATAAAAAAAAATTCTTATATTACAATACTTTCTTGATTATGATTCATTCTCTTTAAGTAGACTGTGAAATGAATACTCATTTTCAATAAAAGCTAACATTGTATTTATCATTTTTTTTTTCGAGTTATTTATATACTTAAAGTATTATTGTGTGCAATATAAAATTAAAAACTAATTTATATCTTTAGTTACCTTCAAAAAAGTTAAATACTATTTATGTTTCTTAAACATTGAATATGTCTATCAATTGTACTTTATTAAGTAGTTATAACCTACACTTATTTCAGATATAAAAATCCTTTAATGTTTTCCTTTTAAAGCACTTCCTCATTTTAGTTTATAAGCAAAGCAAAGACTAGGTGTTGTTAGATACTTTGCACACTTAAATAAATAAAAAAATTTCACAATGTAAAATAGTTGTAATTTATCATCTTAAATATATTGAACAAGTAATGCTTTCTTGCAATATTTACAGTAAGTAAATTTTGAGTTTATAAAGATACATGTATCTTTATAATGTCAATATAAAGATACATGTATCTGTAAAATTTACTTAATTTACATCCGTGGATGAGAAGTTTTTTTTTTGCTGTAAAACCAAGATGTTAATAATGATAAAAGTAAATGTGAGTAAAGTAACAGACTATAAATATTCCACTGCTAGGCAAAGGCCTTCTCTGTACAGAGGGTATCAGGGCATAGTTAACCACATGACCCCTCTTCAAAGTGTTTTTTTTTTATTATTTCAAAAATATACTGGTTTCCTTACAATGTTTTCCTTCACTGCTGAGCATGAGATAAGTCAACACTTAAAATTAACAATTTTATTAGTGCTGGCACCGGGGTTCAAACTCAGGTTGCTTTAATAAATTGAATTAAAGACAAGCACCCGAAAACTAGAGCTATCACGGTTATGATAGAAACATAGCTTATTTGTTTTATGTAAAATCTACTAATAAGAAATTTCTTACACTTAGTTATCTCCTCACAGATACATGTATTAGTAGTGTCTGAACTTGAAAGACATCTATTTTGCTTGTGATTAAATTAATATAATTTTTCAGGATATATTATAACATATAATTATCTAGTCCCAAACTATACAAAGCTTATACTTTGGTTAGTAGGTAACTGATTAACATAATTTTCTTTCGTAAATAAATACACATAATTATAGATATATAAACACCCAGACACTAGAAAAACACTAGATTATTCACACAACAATTTTCCAGTAGTGGTATCAAACCCACGACCTCTAGCACAAGAAACCATCCACTACGCCAATTGGGTCGTCATGTTGGATGAAAGGTAACTTATGTAGTTAGAATAAAATGTTGTTTAATTTTTATTAGAGATTTTATGTTTTATTCTAACAGTCATGATGATAGACGAATAAAACACAAAACCAATTATGCAAATAGGCCAAACCATGTTTAATTTTTTAGCAAGACTAATGAACATTAATTGATTTTTATAAAATAAAAAGTGAAATATACTTTATTGTACACCATAGAAACATTACAGTATTTATAATTTTAAAAAAAAACACGGGTACAACAGGCGGCCTTATCGCTTAAACAGCAATCTCTTCCAGGCAACCTTAGGGCAGAGAAATTCATAAAAAGAAGAAAGTGGCAGGGGTGTACTAAATAAATATTCAGAACATACATAAGATTTATAAACATAGGTATGTGAAAATTATTGGAATTCATTTCCTTCAATTAAAATTTTAAATTACTGTACATAAATAATGTTTTAATAATTATTCTCATAAACATTATGCGAGGTTGTTAAAATATTTTTTTTATGTGAAAAGTTGTCAAGGTAGTAGACGGGTCACCTGATGATAAGTGAATACCACCGCCCATAGACATCTGCTACACCCTAGGGTTGCCGATGCATTGACCTTTTGAAAATTGGGCTCCGGCCACCTCACTCACCAGACGAAACGCGAAAGTATTATATTTCCACTTTACGCCGGTCTTCAGTGAGGTTGTAGTACTTACCCGGACAAGCCTGACCATTCGTGCAACAGACGAGGCTGCTGTGTGGCCCTACCACCGTAAGTACTTCAATATCAAAATATAAGTATTAGAAGAATTTATGGGTTTTGTTCAAAAAATATTAAGTTAACTTTTCCTTCCGCCGAGCAAATGATTGGAAGGTTAACAATTACTCATTGTAATTGTTAAAATGTGAAATGAATGACATTTTAAGGTTAATTAAAATAAACATAATTATCATAGATATGTATTGCATATTGGTCTTACACAAAATAAAATCTTATTCCTTTTTATCAATTGTAAAAATAAACTTCCCAGTTATCTTACCAGGAATAACTATTCTTAAACCTAAAAGATTTTATACAGTTAACAAACAATATTATAGTAACATTTTTTTTTCCATTTTTGGTAACATGAAATATACAGTTGACAAAAATGAACTACTTATAATTTTTTGGAAACTACATTATAACAAATCTATAACATTAATTCCAGATCTACTAAGATAGAAGTATCTAAAAGCTCATAGCCATTTTATTTGAGAAGTGTTAGCAATTGATATGACTACAAAATTTGCATAATTTGATGTGTTTATCATCTTCATCAGTAGCAACACCATGTGTTTAGTTTAAATTTCTTACAAATATAAATTTTTTGTATCGATTTAGGGTTAGATGATTTTAAATTAATTTTTATAATCATACTATTTATATAAGTATAATGTTATTATCACCCTCTTAGAATGCCAATTTTAATTGCGACCATAATTCTGTCCTAGATGTCATTACACTGTAAATAACTTTGCCACTCCATTTTATTCAGAAAATGTTTCTTATTTTGACCGAATTCATCACAAGCAAAAGTTGAATTATTACAATAAAAGGTTACAGTCGGCCTGGGCGCTTTTTTTTAATGATAACATTATTATAGATGTTTATCAATTAAATGTAACATCACAATTTCCAAAATTTCATACAAGATGGATAAGTTGTTAAATAAGATTAATACTAGATATCACAACTATTATTATGAAAGGAAGTAGTTCATATTTAATCATTACTAAGTAGTTATAAGTGGCTAATACATATAATATATTCTTCAATGTAGTTTTACAGTGAATATATTGTCAAGCTTTGAGAATTCCATGCGTAAAGCCACTAAACCAAAATGTTGTATGTATAACTTGCAAAATTGTTAAGAACGAGAAAGCAAGATCTTCATTACATTATTAGGCACTAAAATGGCAAATCACATACCGCTATAAACATTTGATTCAATAATGTAACTCACAACCACAATATATATAAAGAGAATTTTTTTTAAATGCTAAACAATAACATATTACATGATGAGATTACAATTTCATTAGACTAATATTTTCTTAATTATGATAGCTAATTTCATTGATATTTTAACATTTTAATGGAAACATTTTTGGTGTGGTATATGATTGTTTACTTCATCAACACATTGATCAACCTCAGGAATATGTGCAATTCCAAAACTTGCATTACAGACTACTTCTAAAATGTACTAAACTATAATAGAGATAGTAAAAAAATAGGCACTTCTCACAATTTTATGTTGTTTGTTTTGATAATTTATGTATAGCATAGGACGATAATAAAATAAAGCAAGGTCTTTAAATATTAACTTTGTAAAATAAAATACTGTAGTAGTACATAGTAATAGAATTAACAGGTTATAACCAGTTTCAGTTTTGTCGGTTGAGAAAACAAATCTAGACCATTCCTTATATATTCGAGACACTAAGGGTGAAACTTGTTTTCAGATCATGTTCCATGCAAAGTTGTCACAAGTTTGATCACTTAATTAGATAGAAAACAAAAATGCTCAAGGTGTATATGGCGGAGGAGGAGGTAAAATAGATAGATCATCAAATGGAAAATATTGTTGTGAACCTAATACAGGTGGAGCAAAGTTCGGGGGTAATGTAGGCAAATAATCAGCACTAGGGGTATAAGGAGGAAGGGTAGGCACAGCGGGCGTTGGTCCAACACTGTGTGCTTCATATCCATCCCAATCTTCCATCAAGTTTCGCCTCTGTAAGTCTTCATTGTTAGTTAACGGAGCACCCCATAAATTAGCAGCGGATGCCAATAACGCCAGGGCACCTGAAATTAATTTTAGACAAATATGTAAAATAATAGAAAAATTCTCTTCCCTTAAGAACAAAGAAAAATCTATTTTTTAAGTTAACATTAACATTGCCCAAAACATAACTACCATGTCAGGAAAAGTGATAAGTGAACTAAGCTTTTATATGTAACTTAATCTAGTGAACTTATTGCATAAAAAGAAAGAGCAGAAGCCAATGGATTTAAAATCAAAAGTGAATTATTTTCAGGTGATTTTATATACAGCATATTTTTTTAATACTTGTTACACAAAATACCCTCTATATAGAGGAGGCCTTTGCCCAGCAGTGGGACATGTATAGGTTGTTACTTTACTTTTACACAAAAAACACCATAGACATGCCATGAAACCTAATGAAAAAAAAATTTCCCCATTTTAATGGAAAACTCTTCTTATTGGGTATCCTAATTTATACAACACAAATACAGTTGATGCAAGTGTAAAATAATGCCATTATGCACACAATAATACAAAACATTACCAAAAAATTGTCATATGTCATTAAGCATCTAGACGTATATATAATCTAAGATTACCATAAAAGGCACAGTATCAAAATGTCATAATTACTGTAACATAGGATTGGAACATTGCATCTAGCTGGAACTACCTTTCCATCAAGGAAGAGTAATGAAGGAGTAGTTGGTTCATGGT